GGCGCCCCGATAACAGGCGTCGTAGAATTGGGAACCACGGGGTGTTCACGCGCTCGGGAGCCACCAGGAGGGCTGTCAGTCCCTCCTCCTGAACTCGGTTCAGAAACCGTGATATCAGAGGGAGTGGGGGAAATGCGTAAAGAAGCATTTTGGGCCATGGGCTGTGAGCAAATGCATCCACCCCTAGCGGTGGTTCATCCCGCGGGCTCAGTGAGAACCATAGTTGACACCAAGCGTTCTCTCATGTGTCAAGCAAGTCCCCGGCCGCTCTTCCAAATTTCTGCCACGTCTGAGCCATCAGCTCGGGATAGAGGCTCCAGTCCCTGTGACACGGACCGCCCCTGGAAATCACATCCGCCCCTCTGTTCAGAACACCGGGGATGTACACTGCTCTGATGGAGAGTAGATTTTGGTGTGCCCAACACAGCAGCCGTCTCGCAATGTGTATCATTTGGGCTGAGCGCACACACCCCTGCCGGTTTATGTATGCTGCAGTCACCTTGTTGTCTGTGTGAATCAGAACATGTTGATTCCGCAGCACAGGAGCAAAATGTTGTATCACTTTCAAAACCGTGCGACATTCCTAAACATTTATATGAGCTGCTGTGTGGGATGGCCACAGCACCCCCACAGCTTGAGATATGCATGTGCCTCCCCAGCCTGACAGGGACGCGTCTGTGAAAACTGACACATGTGACGTAGGTCTCCTGATGGGAACTCCCTCCGACAGAACAAGAGGGTTTCCCCAGTGTCTCAGGTCACTTCTCACGGAGGGGGGCACAGTGATCAACCGTCTCTTCTGCCTCACCGGATCCACACGCAAACAAGCGAACCACCTCTGGAGACGTCGCATGTGGAGTAAGCCCAATGGGATCACTGTGTGAGCTGACGACATCGTCCCTAATAACTTCATGACGGAAAAGGCTGTTACCACTCTGCCTAGTTTCACGTGGCGGAGCTGGTCCTTTAGAGCTTCGGTTCTCGTCTGAGATAAGCGAGCCCTCATAGTGACCGAGCTTAGCTCCACTCCCAGATAAATGATTGTCTGGGCCGGGAGAACTGAACTCTTTTCCCAGTTTATGGTGAAGCCCAGATTTTGCAGGTGTGACGTCAGCGTCTGAGTTTACGCTGCTGCCTCCTGTCTGGAACGGGTCAGCAGCAACAGATCGTCCAGATAAAACAGAATTCTCATCCCTGCTCTATGTAGCGGGTACAGAGCCAACTCTACGCATTTTGAAAACTCTGTGGCGCGAGGGAATACCCGATCTGAAGTCTGTTGTATTGATACTGGGTCCCTTGAAAGGAGAAACACAGGAACTTTCTGTGCTTTGGAATGATCGGGATTGCGCCGCTCAAGGTGGCTGCATGTTGGAGCAGCTCTGTTACTTTCATTCTGAGATTTTGCTTTTGGAAACTTTAATTCCTCTTTTTCTGGATGTAAATCACTTTTTTTTTTTGGATGATTGTTTCCTCTGGTATCGAATGCTGTGCAGCTGGAAGGATTTTTACTGAAACTTTTTTTTAGTTTTGGACATTTGTTATGATGCGTAACCATGGCAACAAGGCAGTTTTCTACAACAACAGCAGCTGAATAACATCTCAAAAGCTGAAATAATGTCTCAACTATGGCCCCAACTCTCAAATGAGTTGAAAAGGATGTTCTATGGACGCATTCTCATCTACCTGCCAGCTGTGCTCGAGTGCCTGACCACTGAGATCCTGGAACTAGCAGGAAACATGGCTCACGACAGCGGAAGAACAGGATCGTCCCTCAGCACCTACAGTTGGCTGTCCGCAGCTATGAGGAGCTCGGCAGACTTCTGGGAGGAGTGGCCATCGCTCTGGGAGGAGTTCTGCCCAACATTCAAGCGGTCCTACAGTCCAGGGGAACCAAGAGGCCAGCCGAGTCTGGGTGGATGGATCGGACGGCATCTGCAGCCAGTTTCTTAGGATCCACTGTGAGATGGACCTTTACAAGAGATCCTTCCTGCCTACAGCCATCAGCATCTATAACATCTCTTAATGAAATGAGGATAATGAGTTACAACAACAAAATAATTTCCCTTTGGGATTAATAAAGTATTTTTGAATTTTGAATTGAATTGAATGTGTAAGTAGGCGTCTTTCAGATCAATGGTGGTAAACCAGTCAATTTGCTGAATGTTGTCTAACAATTGTCTGGTTATCAACATGTGAAATTGTCTCTCCATGATCGACTTGTTGAAAATTGACAATTCCAAGATGGGTCTCATCCCTCCGGTCCGTTTTAGGACCAGGAAGTAACAAGAGTAAAACCCTGTGTTTTCCTCTCTGTTCGGAACCCTGGAAATTAAAATTTTCACCAGAAGTTCCTGAACTTCTGCGTGGAGGAACGAGATCTGTTCTGGAGATGACAGAATCGTCTCTAAAATTCCTCCAAATGGGGTGGGGGTGGGGGGTTGAGCTGCAAACTGCAGCGTGTATCCCCTGCTGATAAGACGGTTCATCCATCTGTCTTGTTGCCAATCTGCGTAACATTCAGGGGGCGGGCGCGCATTTCTGTGCTGCATCATGTTTTTTACGGACGCCAACCAATTTACAGCATCTACCGCCGTCATGTGCTGCGAAGGCGTACTCCGAGCGACCCAAGGTGAGGCTTTCTCAAAAGGGCCCTGAAGGCACCTCTGTGCCGCGCTCATGCTGCGGGCTCACATCCGCGCTGATGTGAGCTGGCGTGCGCTGGCGTGCGCTGGCGTGCGCTGAGGGGAGGCACGCGTGCCCTTGGCCATGCGGTGCCGCTTCGGAGAAGGCTGCCACCGTGGGGGCGTGCGTTTGTCACCACTGCGGTCAGAGGGGGCAGCGCACAGCTTGGGCTGAGAGCAAGGTTTCCCACTGGACTCGGTCTGCTGAAAACATTCACTTTTGGCTGCTGTGTCACGCGTGCATTTTGTGTGTTTTCTCGAGCTGCGGTGATTTTTAAAAACCTGTTTGGAGGACACCGGCTTGTTTTGTGTGGAGGATGTGTGAGGAGAAGCCGCTGTGAGATCATTTGAACTGACAGTCAGGCTGAAATCAGACACTTCAATTTCTGAATGATGTTTACATTTTATTTCAAAACTAGAACCATCATTGTGCACACACACATCCTCCGCAAGGAGTCATTTTTTTAATCTTCTCCCCCGTGGGCCCTGCAGCTGGTTGTTCCAGGGCGGCGCCTGTTGGCGGTCTCTGGGGAAACGCTGCACCGCTGGTTGCCGGGATGAGGAGGGCTGTTCTCTGATGGGAGGGGCTGGTGGCGGAGCAGAGCGAGAAGACGCTGCTGCAGCTGTGGAGCATCTCTGCTGCTGCCTCTGGCCATGGCGCGCTCTCCAGCGGGTGGGAGGGCGAGAGGAGTGCGGCTTGATCAGATGGCACACAGTCTCTGACACCTCCTCCGACTTCTTCGAGTTCTTGAGCATGGCCTTGAAATTGGCTCCGAACAGCGCGTCCGTCGTGATGGGGCCTTCCAGCAAGTCCTTCTGCAGCTTCTCCAGCAGGGAGGGGGAGTGACGGAGCCAGGTGGACCTCTGGATCATTGTCATCCAGGCTGCGATGCGAGACAGGCAGACAGCAGAAGAGGCGCACAGATTCAGGATGACCTCAGACGCCTTGCAGAGGGAGCTCTTCGTCTCCTCAGGCAGGTCTGTTCCCTCCAGCTTCTTTGAAATGCTGTACGCCAGCTGCGCAACATTATTGTTCGGTGCAGCCGCCTGGAACGCACACTGGTGAGCAAGGTTGGAGAGCGACGTCACTGTCTGGTCATGCTTCCCCGTAGGCACAGGACGCTGGTCCAACCTGGACATCTTTGCTCCGAGAGCTTCCGCCAGGCTTGGCTCCGGGGGGGGGGGGGGGACAGTAAACCCCTCCACTCTGGTGATGGGCACGAATGTGGAACCCGGCGCTCTCAGTCTACCAGGTCCGGCTACAGCCTCGTTCCAGTAGGATGTCACTGCTGGGGAGCCAAACCTTCCCGCTAGATCATCTGATCTGTGCGGGGAGAGGAGAGGGACGGAAAGTCCCCTCGTGTCAGCCGCCTCCTGAATCATGCCGGGCAGCTCCGAGAGGAGGGCACTGACAGCTGGGAGCGGTGTGGCCGCTGATGCGGAAAGACCCGGGGGGGGGGGGGGGGAGCATCCGCTCGGCCCCCCTCATTCCGACACCACGCTCTCCAGGAGGGAGGGAGCAGCGTGGGCTGCTGCTGACGTCGCCTGTCCCGGAGGAACCATCCGATTCGCTCCGAGAGTCGGCGTTGAAAAAATCGATTGCATCATCCAGCGAACAGTCCCCCGCCATGGAGAGGCACTACTCGACGTTAGCCTTGAACAAGGCTGCTTGCCTCTGCCTCTCCTCCGGGGGAAGGAGGTCACAGAGGTGGCAGGAGGAGGCGAGGTTGGCATGGCGGGGACCCAGGCATCCTTCGCAGATGTCAGCATGTAGCTGGTCTTGCAGGACGGACACAGGCGGATGACGTTGGTGCTGGACATCGTGTTGTTGAAGCTCAGTGCTATTTGCTTGCTGAAGAAAAATGGGAGACGATTACCCACTCTTAACGTAATTTATACGGACCGAGTGGGGCCCACACAACAGGTGGGCATGAACTAAATTTTTTCAGTGCAATGCTTTGCATGACAGTATAAACCCACCAGTGACAGCCTTAAAGGGCGAAGCCTATACGAAATAGAACAGGAAAGTATTCCAGGAGTTTTATTTCTCAAAACTTCATCACAGCTAATTGTGGCTAATTTCTGACATAATGACTCCTCAATTATCTTATCCTCGTAAATTAAATAAATATAATTTTGCTTTAAATGTAAGTACCTTATGAAGGAATCTCAAATTTACCATTTTTTTTTCTGTGAAATAAAACGTATCCTTGGTCAACATATTTTATGCAAATGAGAGAGAATCCGTTCTTCTAATTGGTTGAAATACGAGAGCTCCCCGTTTTTGATTGGCTGTTGTTGTGTCAGCCACGTCTCCCAGCCACGTCGCTCTTCGATCGCCATTTTCCTGTCTTCTGAAGCTAGAATCGAACTGTTCGGGCTTTACGTTGTCAATCAGCCCTGGCAGCTAGGAAATAAATCCTTACCAGAGACGAACGGAACTGTCTGACGAGTCCTAAGACTTGTTTTGTCGGTGAAGGGGCCTCCTCGAACATGAACATTTTTAGGCTAACAGGCGATCTGTCCCACCTAGCAGCCATCATCATCTTGCTGCTAAAAATATGGAAATCCAGGTCTTGTGCCGGTGAGTACATAAATATCTTGGATTCGCAGTTTGTGCCAATCGCTTATGAACAAATATATCCTTTAATATGAAGGGACCGAGAGGAAAACATGAGCTCTGCTCATAATTAGCTTCGGCTAACGTTAGCTTAAACTTGCTAGCTCCTAGCACCGGTGTCCAATTGAATGTGAGGCTAATTTCTAACACAAACCATGATGAGCATGGCCAAAGAGGACGGGACGCCTCCACGGCTTCAAGTAGGGAAAGTAGCAGACCTTGTTTGCTAACGTGTTGGACCCCAGAGAGCATGAAGTTGGACTTTATCAGGCCTCCCAACATTCATTAATTCATTGACAATGACAGGGTTTGCCCTGCTTGTTTATGTCCCTCTCAGCCGCCATAAAGGAGCTGTCTGACGTGGCAGCTGTCCCCCTGACTGGACAGGTCCAGAGTCTGCCCTGCAGAGTGGACAGGTCCAGAGTCTGTCCTGCAGAGTAAATGGGTCCAGAGTCCCGCAGA